TCATAACTCACCTTAGAAAGCAGCTAGAGTTATAATTTTTTTTTTTAATCTTTTAGCTAATAGAATCTACTTTAACAATGATAAGTAAAATTTTAAAAATATATGAATAAATATATATATATATACAATTTATATGTATGAACGGCCTAATATTTTCTCAAATTTTCATTTTGTAACCCATAAAAAGAATATTAGCTGTATTTTTTTTCCTATAAGTTTATTATTTTATTAAATACCACTAAATAAAGAACATATTGTGAAAGTTTTAGCAAAAAATAATAATAAATAAGTATTTTTATTTATAAAAATAAAAAACGTTACTTTTCTGCCGAAATTGACATATAACAAAAAAAACACATAAAGTAATTATAAAACCCAAGTTTATTAAATATTTACCACATACTACAGAAATACTTTTACAATAACATTTCTACATGCATTTATAAGCCTGGATCTATTTACAGTAGCCTAATTAAAAATAAGTATCATGCAAGAAATAAAAAGGTAAAATGAAGTCTCTCACCTATTTTAGACACTGAGAAGCTACTGAGAAGAATAGTGAGAAGAATGTGAAAGCAGTTCATTATATGCACATCTTTCTTATGTTATAATGTTTCCTGTTAATCAATTGAAATAAAACATTTAGAAATAACACATTTAGAGCAAAATCTATTTACATATTTACATTTTTTATGGAACGGCTCATATATTTACATTTGTGTCGAGGAAGACAGTCCACCTATTTCATCTATTTTAGACACTGAGGAGAATGTGAAAGCAGTTCATTTTATGCACATCTTTCTTATGTTATAATGTTTTCTGTTAAAAAATTGAAATAAAATAGAGCCAAAACTATTTACATATTTACATTTTTTCTGGAACGGCTCATATATTTACATTTGTGTCGAGAAAGATAGTCCACCCATTTCACCTATTTTAGACACTAAGAAGCTACTGAAAAGAATGTGAAAGCAGTTCATTTTATGCACATATCTCTTACAGGTTATAATGTTTTCTGTTAAAAAATTGAAATAAAACGTTTAGCGCTAAAACTATTTACATATTTACATTTTTTCTTGAACGGCTCATCTATTTACATTTGTGTCGAGGAAGACAGTCCAAGTGACATCCACGCCTACAGTTAACACAAATTGTTTTTGACCTTCTTCTTTTACCCATGGGGTCATTTTTCCCACTGCACACACAACAATTGCTTTCCTTATTCCCTTCTAGTTTTTCTAATCCAAATTTCCTGTTGGGTGAAAATCCATCGCCGCCCCCTCTATTTTCAGCAACCGGAGCTTTTTCTAAAAACCATTCATTTGCCAACTCCTCAATGATGGATACCTGGAAGTGAAGTCTGGAGAGGGGTCTGTCTGTATTCAACTTATACAGGACATATGCATTCAAGACCATTCTACCAAAAATATTAAAAATTACCTTTTTGAAATGCTTCATACACCTACGCTCATCCAGATAGGTGTAGAGCATCTGGTCTGTCCCGTATATACCTCCCATCCCATGATTATACTCGTAAACTATGTGAGGTTTGCACTTAATTAACATTTTTCCTCCTCTTTTCACTGTGTAACGCACACTCTTTGCTCGGGCATTGGATGATAGTAAAATGAATTGAGTTTTGTTGGTTGCCTTTTCACGGAAGGCCATGAATAAGAAAGGTCCTTTACGAACGTAAACTCTTTTGCCTACAGGGAACTTGCCTAATAGCTTTTTAGGGACTCCTTTTCTATCGGTACGAACTGTGCCAGTCAACCATGTAAAATTTTGATACAAAAATCTAGCTAATTTTTTTGAAGTGAAGAAATTATCAAGGTATAGATGGTATCCTTTGTTTAGGAAATTTCCCATCTCTAACAACTTTTTAACAACCGAGTAGCCCTGCCCTAGACGCTGAATTTCTTCTCTATTGTCTTCATATTTGGCTCCTTTATAACAGTAAAATTTTAAACAGTAGTTGGTCAAAGCATCACAAAGCACCCACAATTTTATCCCCCATCTGTGATGTTTTTTTTTTGGAAGATACTGTGTGAGAGCGACTCGCTTTTTGGTGCCAACTAGTGACTCGTCCACAGACAACTTTTGGTGAGGTATGTAGTAATGATGGAAAAGGTGGTTTGCATGATCTATCAGAGGTTGAAATCGTCCACAGGGGTTGTAATTTGGGGAATCAAGTGGTGCTAGAGCGGTTGAGTCTGTTAGATGGAAAAATTTCAAAATGGCTTGGAATCGATTTCGGCTAAGTACTTTACCAAACCAATCACATTTTTGAGAGGAAGAAGTGTACCAGTAACTTCGTATTGAGGGTTTTCTAATAATGCCCATGTTGAGTACAATAGCTATAAAAGCTTTCATTTCTCCTAGACTAACCTGGACCCAATCTTTCATGCGGTTTCTTACAGCTGGATTATTTCTGAAAAACTGCCCAGCATATCTGTTTGTTTCAGTCACTAAGGTATTTAGTAGATTTACAGTAAAAAAAGGTTGAAGTACTCAATAGGCTTTGAATTCCTAGGTGGGCAATGTTTAGGGCCGGGCAATTCTGAGAATCCAAAGTTGTGGTTGTATTCAGGGTCATCTTCGGAGTCAAGTTCCTCCCATTCGCTGCTTTCTGGGCTTTCCGGTTGTTTTTTTGATTTTGATTTGGGATTTGTAGGCCTATTACATCTAGTGTTATTGTTTTGGCTCTTCTTCTGTCTACCGGTAGGCCTATTGCTTAGGGTCCTCGACACAACATGAGACCTCCCTGTAGAAGTGCTTGGCTCATCAATAGGTAGGCCTACAGGATCATCAGGATCTTCACTGTTTGACGTAGAACAGGTTTGGTTTACACTTACATCACATTCAGTCCTAGGCCTATCCTGCATTAGAGGGCTGTCACTGTCACTACCGGTATCAGACATCAAGTTTCTTCCATTTTGTCTAAAGTTGGATAAAAAACTATATCTGTTACGGGTAAGTCCATCTTTACCACTAGGGTCGTAGTCGGGATCTTCGTCAGTGTCGTCTACGTCCTCACTTGAAGAAGAAGAAATATCTAATAGTGAATCATCACTCTCATTTCCATCAATAAATGTTACACCGGACTCCAGTATATTTGAAATAAGTGTTCGTTCACTTTCAGGGGAATGTTTTCTTTTTGATTTTTTCTCACTCATTTTGATTGGCTGTAAGTTTTAACTAGGCCTGCTTTTATACTAATTTTTAGATACATACAACTTTATATCGGCATATAGGATGATTATAAGTAACTATACTTCAAAAAAAGTTAAGTTCTCTCATGATAAATGAAGGACAGAGATCTCAAGTTAGGCCTAGGCATACCCGTTTGAAGTTAGTTCAAACGGTAAGATAGGCAGCCTAATTTAGTTTATTCACACTAAAAACAAGTTCATGCACATGCAAATGGAAAAGTGTTAATCAATGAAAAGTAAGGAATAGAGTATTAGTTTGGAGTAATAAGAGCTTTTAAAAAGAAATAAAACAACAGACACATAGGACAGAGAAGTCAGGTTAGTCCTAGTCCAAACGTTCAAACAAAGCTTCTAATACTCAAGACATAATCAGTGCAAATTGAAAAACTTTCTGTACGTACACAATCTATTTTAGCAACAATAGTTTATATAGAAACTCATTTTAGTTAATTTCATAATAAAATTCACTAAACAAACTCACGAATAACAACAAACAACATTTAGTACTTCACAGTGAATGTCAACAACAAACAACGTCGAGTTAATGTTTTGTTTTGATGCGCAACAGCTGTACAGACAGACCGGTCAAGGCCACGCTAATTTCGTCGTTCTTCTTACTCTCAAGCTCTATATAAAGTACGTTTTGAGCGTGTTGTTGAATTTACTTGCTTAGAGAATTTAATTTGCTCTCGTTTGATATATCTTTCAGTGGAATAGCTTTATAAATAATTTTGTAGTAGTAGATTTACGAAAAGCCGATGACATCGGCACTTGGGTTTTTTCGCATACATACATAGTGCCGATGACATCGGCACCCGGGCTTTTTCGATCGTAACGGCAGTGCCGATGTGATCGGCACTCGGGTCTTTTCAGATAAAACTGAAGTGCCGATGTGATCGGCACTTGGGACCCAAAGGGTTAATACGCAAGCATGTTTTTTGTGACAATTACTCCTCCGAAACTACTGAACCGATTGACATGTTTTTGGTGTCATTGGAAAGTATTGACATAAAAAGTAACATAAAGTTGTGCAGGAAACTTTCTTTTTAGATAAATAATTAGAGAGTGAGGCCCTGGGGCCCTTTAAAGTTTCATATTTCTCCATAAGATTAACATGGGAAACAAAAATTTTTATGCAACTCCAGCTGTTGTCAAAAATTAAAAGTGAGAAGAAAAACATATATTAATTTTAAACGGTCAATAAGTTTGATAATTTTACAGTTTGCTACAAACATTTACTGACTTGGTTGAAATGAAATATTGACTACTGTATTTTAATTCGGGTTGGCGTAAATATTACAATGGAAAAAAGCGAGAGAGCCTGGATAAATTGATATATTCTGTTATGTACATCTTGAGATAGATACTGAAGATTACAAAACAGGATCTATTTTGATCAAATTTGGCAAAATTATTACTTCATATACGATACTATTTAAATAAAAAACACTTTTTCTTCCCTATAGCAGCAAACCCAGGTACTCTAAAAATATAATGTTATTTAAATAAGGAATAAATCTGCCAATTTTAAGAATTTTTAAGTAAAAATCCAATAGGACGAATGGAAATTTGCATCGTATGAAGGTCTGCTGAGGCAAGGGAATTTAAAGGATCGATTGATCATTAATTGTCTGTATAGCAGAGTGGTTACAGAGCTCACCTTTAAATTCAAAGCGAGATTGATTTTAGACCCAGATGCCATTTGTAATTGGGCTATGACCGCGCAGTTGATGTTAGATAGTACTGTAACAGGAGCTGTTCACTTACAATAAACTGTGTTTGACTTACCCGCCCTGATTCACCCTGTCCTCCGCTATGAGCACACAGCCTCTCATGCCATCAGTGGACACATCCGTCTCTGTGCTGATGTTGGCCTCATTCAGAGAGATGTCTGCCAAGAACGAGTAGCAAGTGTGAGCCTGGTTGATGTACAACCTGTCGTCTCCTCTCACGTTGCGCCTGACTGCAAACAGCAAAGGATCATGTTGAAGTTTCTAAACACTGTCAAATTAGTTTGGATGACAACATTTTCACCATCATAAAAGTATACGCTAAATTTATTTACACAATGGCAGTCGTTAATCAAAGTGACCAACGGAATACAGTATTGATTTGTATTATTGGGGTTTGCGAGTCTGTACAATCGGGGGAGGTAGGTAGCATTGTTATGGTCGTGGAGGTAGCTTTGTTTAAAGTCTATTGCTAAATTGACCGGTAAATTTTCTGTACTCTAGTGACTTTACTACCTTAGTACTTAAAAGAGTACAAAAGGTAGCTGTTTACTGTGTAGTGTGGCAAAAATACTTTTCAGGATGTTTGTACGACCATATCTTCTTAACAGTAATTAAACTTACTTTCAGCTGGTGTAAGGTTTTCATAGAAAGGCTCCAAGGCCTTAAATAATCTGTCCTCCTCGACAAAAGGCAGAAGAGCAACTCCTTGCCAAGCAAACTTCTTTCCATTAAGATCTATTTTGAAATCTTCAGGGTAGAAATCTATGATTGGAGAATCCTATAAAAAGACAACATTTTGAAAATGTAATAATTTCTTGATACTTGGAATTCAAGTTTGGATTAAGTAATACATTTGCAAAGAATGTCTATTGGCCACAAATAAACGTATTATTTTTGCAAAATAAAAAATGTTTCCCAATATGAAAGTTCAAATGCCTTACTCGCTTTTTCACAGACCTCTTATAACAAATAAAAATTAAACTTATACTGTAATATATTCCCATTACCTGTGTTTCATAAAAGTACTAATATTATAAGCTAGTAATATAAGCTTATACATTTTTATTTTATAAGCTGAAACAATTATCTGAATCATCTTTGAAATGTTTATGTTTACATTTTTCTATTTTTTACTACAATTATTAAATTCAGTTTTGTTCTAACATTTTAAAGAATCATTTATTAGTTTTCAAAGTGAAATATGTTTTAGTGGCGACGAGGACGGAATTATAAATGACTCATAACTTTTTTAAAGGATAAACATTTAATTTACATCATGACTGAAGACCTTTCAACAATGTTATCAACGTCTGTTCAACAACAAACTATACTTCTGAACAAGTTTAATGAAATCACACAAACAGATGCACAGAACCCAAAACCTTCAACACCCCAGAACGTAATCACATCATTCAATTTTGACTCATTTGATGAAAACTAATAAATGATTCTTTAAAATGTTAGAACAAAACTGAATTTAATAATCATAGAAAAAAAAATTAAACATAAACAATTTGCAGATGATTCAGATAATTGTTTATAAGAGCCAGGTAATGGGAATATATTACAGTCTTCCCCTCTAAAAAGAGAACACCAGATTGAAGTCTTGGTATGGAAACTCATAACTGATACTTGTGTAGTGTAGGTAATTGGCTTTAGTTTTTTTCCACTGGTATAGCTTAATCTTAATAGCTTACTGGAGTCGTTGAACAGTAGTAGGTTTTTTTGTTTTAATTGCTGGTTTTCGTGGAATTTGACTTTAAAACCCTCTATCTGGCGCTGGTCGATTTTCGACCATTAAAACGTGAGTTCTCAGTGGCGCTGGTCGATTATAGACCAAGATGACATGGGTCGGGTTTTTCTATTATTAAAATATGAAAACAGTTTTAAAACACAATAAATCTTATACCATTAGAAAGATGAGATTCTGAGAATTCATTTTCATGCATAAAACATTATTGAGTGAGTATTATGTAGCGAGAAACATAGTTTGAAAAACTAGAGAGTTCAAAATAGATTTTGGCGGTGGAAAGTTTTGGTCACCTGACTACAAAAACAGCTGTTTTTGGTTATTGTCAATTAAATTGTATACAATATTAGTACATATTGTGAAACTTCAATAAATTCCCTACAATTCCCTTTGAATCTATACGGTTGATTGTAAAAATTGTATTTGTTTTTAAAAATGTCATAAATATTATGTTTTTGTAAAAAAATCTTCAAAATTTTACATTCTGACGTAAATTTCTCCAACATTTTAGAATTCAACTAAATATAACTATATGTTTTCAGAAAGATCTTTTTATTACCTATTGTACAGTATCATTTCATTTTTTGTTGATGCATTCTATTATTTCCTACGTGACAAAAAGAAATTTGGTAGTTTTTCAAAAAAGAAAATATGTATGTAGAATTTATATTTTATAATTTTATTTTCATGAGTATTTAAAAAACATTGATATTTCTACGTAGGGAATCATATTTCACACAACCTTTACATTTAGATAAAATGTGTAAAAAAATTATTTTGTGGTTTTCTTGTGGGTTGCTTTTGAAATTTCTAATTTGCATAATCCAAAAATTTGCAAACTTTTTGCTACTAGGCCTAAACGCATTGCTAGGAAAAGAATATTTTTATATTATTACATTCTAAATTCATCACTGAAAAAGAAAATATACAGTGTGTAAATTAAGTATGGAAACAAATCTGTATTTTTAAAACCGAAATAGATAGAAATATTCTATTTGTGGCAATAATAGTTAACAAAGATTCCGCAATTTTTCACATGAAAAATATTTTTTTACCCCCCTAACAGGGTAGGTGGTAGGGGGTGACTTATTTTTTTCAAATAGCAACCCCTATTGAGTGACCCCTCATTTTGAAGGGTTTGTCAAAAGAAACACAATGACGCAAATCCGAGGTGAATATCTCACTCCTAGCTAACATGGCGGATATTCCAAAATGGGCTTTTTTTACAAAAATTAAATTTTTCATTACCCACCATTTAGGCTAGGGGTGAAATATCTACCTCGGGTTTGCGTCATTCTTTTTCTTTTAACAAACCCTTCAAAATGAGGGGTCACTCAATAGGGGTTGTTGTTGAAAAAAATAAGTCACTCCCACCCCCTACCCTGTTAAAGGGGTTGAAAAAATATTGTTGATTAAAAAAATTGCGGAACCTATGTCAACAATCAATTCCACAAACAGAATATTTCTATCTATTTCGGTTTTAAAAATACAGATTTCTTTCCATTATTTGTGAAATTGGTGCTTTTCACGTACAATAAATCAAATTTTGGAATATCCGCCATTTGGGCTAGGAGTGAGATATTCACCTCGGATTTGCGTCATTGTGTTTCTTTTGACAAACTCTTCAAAATGAGGGGTCACTCAATAGGGGTTGCTATTTGAAAAAAATAAGTCACCCCCTACCACCTACCCTGTTAGGGGGGTAAAAAAATATTTTTCATGTAAAAAATTGCGGAATCTTTGTTAACTATTATTGCCACAAATAGAATATTTCTATCTATTTCGGTTTTAAAAATACAGATTTGTTTCCATACTTAATTTACACACTGTATATATGTGTGTAATTATATTCACAAATAAATGTTCTGTGGCAAAATATATGATACCACTACAAAAGTGCCAAAATATACCTGCCACTGGTGAATAAAATGACCGCCAGATCTAGAGTTAAAAACTTTTAATGGCCGCCATTTTGAAATTCGATGAGCCTAATCAAAGATTTTTTCGGAGAATGTTAATAGTTTTAGACTTAAAGTTTATACCAAGTTTCATAAAAATATCTTCAAGGGCTATTGAGTTATGAGTTATTTTCAAAAAATTCAAAATGGCGGATTACGGCTAAACTAAGCCGAAATCAAAACAAATTTATACAACATTTTTGACTTATTTTTGCACATAGAATCTGAATCTGCACAGTCCACAACGCTTTACTGAAACACCCTTTATTACTTTTTGAAATATTTAACTGTCCTGGGACATTACATCCACCCTGATTAATTTTATTTAAGAAAAATATAAAATTATGTTTTATGAAATAATGGTTGATCCTACATAAAAACTGTAATCATATTTTTTGTGCAGATTTAAAATAGCTACATTTTGGTATCAACAATTCTTTTGTAACCCTAACGGTTACTGATATAAGTAAGAAAACAAGTTTGCGATGGCGGCCATTTTGTTTTTTACCATTCGGCGTTCAAACGCACAATTTTCAAGAGTGCCACCATCGAAATTGTATTTCTCCAAGGTCAAACGAAGAGATTAAGACTACTCCCACACCTGCCTCATGAAGGAGCACACGGGAAGTTTACATTTACACATTTTGCAATAATGAATGAGGGTAATGACTCACTGGATCACTCATGAGATGGCGCCAAGGCTCAGGCACATGAGCACTGCTGGCTGCAGGAAACACTCCCATCAGCTGCTCCAGGGGACGGAACTATAACAATGTCACAGATAAATTGGTTGGAAGTAACCGGATCACTCATGAGATGGCGCCAAGGCTCAGGCATATGAGCACTGTTACATTAAAAAACTCCCACAGGAAACACTCCCATCAGCTGCTCCAGAGGACGGAACTATAACAATGTCACAGATAAATTGGTTGGAAGTAACCGGATCACTCATGAGATGGCGCCAAGGCTCAGGCATATGAGCACTGCTGGCTGCAAGAAACACTCCCATCAGCTGCTCCAGGGGACGGAACTATAACAATGTCACAGATAAATTGGTTGGAAGTAACCGGATCACTCATGAGATGGCGCCAAGGCTCAGGCATATGAGCACTGCTGGCTGCAAGAAACACTCCCATCAGCTGCTCCAGGGGACGGAACTATAACAATGTCACAGATAAATTGGTTGGATGTAACCGGATCACTCATGAGGTGGTGTCAAGCCTTAGGCACATGAGCACTGCTAGCTGAAGGAAACACTCCCATCAGCTGCTCCAGGGGACGGAACTATAACAATGTCACAGATAAATTGGTTGGAAGTAACCGGATCACTCATGAGGTGGTGTCAAGCCTTAGGCACAAGAGCACTGCTGGCTGCAAGAAACACTCCCATCAGCTGCTCCAGGGGACGGAACTATAACAATGTCACAGATAAATTGGTTGGAAGTAACCGGATCACTCATGAGGTGGTGTCGAGCCTTAGGCACAAGAGCACTGCTGGCTGCAAGAAACACTCCCATCAGCTGCTCCAGGGGACGGAACTATAACAATGTCACAGATAAATTGGTTGGAAGTAACCGGATCACTCATGAGGTGGTGTCAAGCCTTAGGCACATGAGCACTGCTAGCTGAAGGAAACACTCCCATCAGCTGCTCCAGGGGACGGAACTATAACAATGTCACAGATAAATTGGTTGGAAGTAACCGGATTACTCATGAGATGGAGCCAAGGCTCAGGCATATGAGCACTGCTGGCTGCAAGAAACACTCCCATCAGCTGCTCCAGGGAACGGAACTATAACAATGCCACAGATAAATTGGTTGGAAGTAACCGGATCACTCATGAGGTGGTGTCGAGCCTTAGGCACAAGAGCACTGCTGGCTGCAGGAAACACTCCCATCAGCTGCTCCAGGGGACAGAACTATAACAATGTCACAGATAAATTGGTTTGAAGTAACCGGATCACTCATGAGATGGCGCCAAGGCTCAGGCACATGAGCACTGCTGGCTGCAAGAAACACTCCCATCAGCTGCTCCAGGGGACGGAACTATAACAATGTCACAGATAAATTGGTTGGAAGTAACCGGATCACTCATGAGGTGGTGTCAAGCCTTAGGCACAAGAGCACTGCTGGCTGCAGGAAACACTCCCATCAGCTGCTCCAGGGGACGGAAATACAGTTGAACCTCTATAAGACGAATTTCAAGGGGTACGGGAAAAATTCGTTTTATAGAGGTATTCTTAATAAAGAGGGTCGTTTTATCGAGGTTTAATGCTGCTGTTATTCTTCTTATAGAGGTTTCTCCTCGCTCCAAGGTTTCTCCAAACAATGACTGAGGAAGGAGGAGGGATGGGTGAGGGTTTCATGTTGAGACAAGCTTCTGTTTGTTTTGAAAACTACGTACTATGGAGGTTAAGATTATGATAAATTCGTCTTATAGAGGTCACGTTCGTCTTGTAGAGGTTTTGTCCTAAGAATATTCGTTGTATAGAGGTCAATCAGTCCTTGCCCATGTCACAAACAAATTCGTCTTATGGAGGTTTTTAACTTAATTACTACGTTGTATAGAGGTGTTTTTAGCATTAACCTATATGAAAGTGTCAAGGGGATTAAAAAAAATTCGTCTTATCGAGGAATTCGTTTTATCGAGGTTCGTACAAACGAGGTTCAACTGTATAACAATGTCACAGATAAATTGTGTTGTAAGTACAGTAGACCCCCTCTTAACCGACCTCGTATTAACCGATAATCGGGTTATCCGCCTTCGATCGTAAAATAATACAGTTTGTTTTAACCGACCTTGCTTTGAGAGCAGCTCGGTTTAACCGCCGCTTTCTAGGAATATCGGCATTTCCGCTCCCACGCTGGGCGATGAGAACTGAACCATACGCTTATCTCCACAGGATATGACTAACAATAAGTTATTTTGTGTTGATCACAAAAAATATAGCATAGCCTATTGTCAGTTTGTCATCATTGTTCGAGCACATCTGATCTGATTTGTTATCTGTGCGGCAAATGGTTAACATCATAAAGTGCGTTACGATTTTGAAAACTGATTATCTTATCGCCGGAGTAAACAAACAACGCAACTTGTAGGGAAGGCAGGGAAGGGGGGTTAACAACTCCAAGGTCAAGATAGTTTTTGTGCCTCGAGCCTCCAGTAAGAGGCTATAAATAAACGTCCTGTCTTGAAACAAAATGGTCGCTTGTATCTTTAATGTCGACAAAAGGTTCTGTATTGTATTACGATGTATTTGGAAAGCATCAATTAATCCATTACAGTACTAAAGTTATTAAAATAGGAATTTTATTGACTCTTGCCTAGTATTATAATATATTCCACTGAAAGTAGGCCTATTTGACTTAACCGTGTTTTGTGTTGTGTTTATTTGTGACTTTTCTACCAATATGAAAAGGAGTTAAGAGTAGTTTATTTTATAAATAATGCAAGTATGACTTCAAAATAACGATTATTATTCCAAATGAATAGCACTTCATTATGTTATGATTTTAGGGATTGCCCGTTTTAACCGACCTTTTAAGTTATCCGACCTAGGTCCGGTCCCATTAGGGTCGGTTAAGAGGGGGTCTACTGTAACTGGATCACTCATGAGATAGCGCCAAGGCTCAGGCACATGAGCACTGCTGGCTGAAGGAAACACTCCCATCAGCTGCTCCAGGGGACGGAACTATAACAATGTCACAGATAAATTGGTTAGAAGTAACCGGATCAGGTTGTGTCAAGCCTCAGGCACATGGCAGCACTGCTGGCTGCAAGAAATACTCCATCAGCTGCTCCAGGGGACGGAACTATAACGTTGTCACATAAACTGGATGCTGTGGCAACGTAATTCAGAGTTTTTATTTAATTTGTATGCATATGTAGTTATGGTGGAATAAATCATTATTTCATTTAGGTAAAATATTCGTGAGCCCTGAATCAAACTTGTGTCTTCTGAAAACAGCATTATCGCAGTGATGCGGAGGAATGTTTAGAAAACAAAAATTTATAAAACTTTACCAGGCAAACAAAAAATTTGTCCAAGCTGTGTTGTAAAAATAAAACACTGTAATGTAGGCTAAATTAAACTTGAGACTTTGGAAAAGGAATTTTTTTAAATTGAAAATTAAATATTTTAAAAGCCTTGATATGAAAAAATGACCCTGTGAAGAAAGTAAAGACATTAAGCCATAAAGTTACTGTAATTGTTTACCTCTAAACCGTCTTGAGCTATTTGCTCAAAGAAGAATAGTAGGGCCTAATTAGATTGAAGTTTTTTTTTAACAGGGAAAAACAAATGAATGGCAAAGAAAAATAAAAAAAACAATCAACTTAGAAACGTCATCGTCAGTAGTAAATTGTAAAATATTTCAAGAACTCTAATACCGCAAAGTATTAATAACTGATTACATGTCCAATGGAAAGAGATACACTTTGTAAATAAAGTCTTTTTATTTAAAAGGTTTTTACTTTTCATTCATAAAAATTTAAAGTTCAATTCCTAATTACACTAATCTGATGGTTGTGCATTACCAAAAGCTACTTTGATTTGGTATATCTGTATAGCGAAAAATGTTTGCTTGATTTAATTAATAATTTGAAGAGTTATAAATCTTAAGGGTATCTAATTTACTTACTTACAGAATATATTCATGATAAACTGTAGTTAAGTAGGCTATCCCAAAAATATATAAATCATAAAATTAGATGCTATTTAACGGATCAGAGTAGATCAATTCTTAGTGATATAACAACAATTGCAGAAATGGACATCAATTTAATCAACAATTGATCTAATATTTGAGGAGTAATATAATTAAAATAACATATTAATATATTATTAAAAACAAAGGAAAATTGATTTCAAAAATTGCATAGTACAAACTGGCGTAAACAACGCAACTTAACATCTGAGAGTATTGTGTGCTGGCTGTGAGTAGCGGCTCAAGGACTGCAGTGACGTCACTGCCTCAGCCTGATAAGCGAGGGGGGGAGAGGGGCGCACTCTGTCTGGCCCACCTCTTTTACTCCATACATCTTGGCTGCGGGGACCTGTCCCCTCGTCAGTATGGATTCAGGATGTAACAAGAGACCGTACGGTTGACGCTGTTGAGGAGGTGAAGCAAGCCGTGATGAGAGCTGAGGATTTTAGCCACTTCACTACTCTCGTAGGGTTGTGCTGAATTCCGCGAGGTGGTGGGATATGCTGGATGCTCTGGAGAACACCTTCCACGTTCCGGCATACTTCATGCGTATCATAGAGGATTATCTCCGGTTCTGCCTCCTCATGTATGACACTACAGAAGGCTCACGGACGATGAGTGTCACTTCCGGTGCTGCCCAAGGTTCCGTACTCGGCCCAGACCTCTGGAATGTCGCATATGAAAGTCTTCTGATGTCTGAAATGCCTAAGGAAACTGTTTTGGTTGGGTACGCAGACGACGTTGCAGTTTTGATAGCTGCACGTAGCTTTGAGCTGGCTGAGCTAAAGCTGAACCGAGTTATGCGTACCATAAACGCATGGATGGCAGACCACAGTCTTTCACTCGTTTTTAGAAAAACTGAGATCGTGATATTAACGAAAAACGGATTGACACCATCGTCCATTGACACCATTGAAGATAGGGGCCGTCGAAGTCCAGACCGTTCGTTCTGCCAAGTACCTTGGGGTTTGGGCAGCAAGCATAGCTGGCGGGATCAGATTTTCTGTACGGCGGACAAGGCCGCTAGGGTGGTTTCCTCTCTTAGCCGGTTGATGGACACGGTCATACCGATGATGATGGAGGGTGAGGACAATTGGACCTGTGTGTCACATTACATCCAGGGTATTCTCCGCGCCAAGAAGCTCAACCTTGACCGGGATGCGGTGTAGGTCATTAAGTATATAAATCCCAGAAACGGTGAGAGCCCTGAGGGCTTAGGTCACATATTGGCCTGACAAAGTTATGTGACAAACAATTCCAGGTCTGTGTCCAAAAGAGTAGAGGGGTTTGTTTAGTGAGTAGTCTGTGATAAATTCAGGAGTCTCACACTACAGGCTGGCTACCTGTGTGTGTAAAAGCATTTTCCCTCCTCTACCTTAAAAAAAATGCAACATTTCTTTAAAGATTGATTACTCAATATGTGAAAATAGTAAATACTGATGTAAGTAACAAATTTATATGTAAAAATTAGTCTGTTATGGATTTATTTATTAAAACCCATTAAAAATTTCAATGTTCTGGATAACTTGGCAACATCCGAGTCCACAAATAGTCGAGTTAGTGAGGTTTTATTATAATTTGTTATGTTAGTTAGTATTCTACATTCTATAGGAATACTTACTGGTATTGTGCCTTTTTCAAAGTCTGTGCTTAGACTACCAATGTTGATGAAGTCAGAAGCAAATGGTGCGTAGTGGTAAGGGAAGTACCACTTCCATGAGGGACATCCCTGAAATATACCAAACAAATAAATATACTCTACAGTGAATAGTTCAAATGTATTTTTAATCACTTGTATTCTAGTATAAGTATAATATTTGTGTGTTAGTATGGGGTACCGAGCCCTGCTCGGTAGCGGCTGTTTGAATTTAATATTTAAAACAATAAAAACATACAAATATTAGAATTCGCAAAAATATTTTTAATACAAACTATGAATATTTAAATACTGAAATAATACTAACTCTGCAGTGTAACAATATGCAATAAAACAACTTTTCTTTAGAGATGAGTGGTTGCTACCTATTGTCTGTGGTCGGCTGTACAGGTTTTGAGAAAAAAAAAAACGAAACCGAGAATTAACATAAAAAGTCTGTAGGTCGGGCCAAAAAAGAATAATAATTTATTTTCAAAGAAACACTCTTATATTATATCTACTATTGCATACAAATTAAAATTTTCAAATGAGAATTAAATATTAAGTTTGCTCACGAGACGTTTAAGAATAAAGACACAACAGAGCAATTGCCGCCCCGCCACTAGCCAGAGTCAGTCATCAACTGACAAAAGCTGTGACGCAACAGTGCAAAGAAAACGAAGTCAAAAGAAAGACTGTTTATCCAAAGGTACTACTTTAATTATTTATTGTTTATTCCATAAATAATTAAAAATATATTTGAGTATTTTACATGATTAATTATAAAGAAAAGAAATATCTGATATAGTGTACAGATCTGTATCTTAATCTTTTATTTTCCTATTGTCCTTTATGACATTAAATCAGTCAACAAAGAGGTTAGGCCTAAATTTTTTATAATTTTAGGAAAGTTTTACTACAGTAAAATTACTTTTTTCTTAAGTCAGATGGGGTTTCAAAAAACATATTTCTAAGATCAAATAAATATTTACAAGACACAAACTACCACGAATTAATTGCTTTGAAAATAATCTGTAACAGTTTTATGTTTTTGAATAAAGTAATATACCTTTTTGTCTCTACTTCCTTGTTTCGTTACACGATTTTGTCAGCAATTGGAGCAACCGGGTGGTATAAGAGGGGAGGGGGAGGGTCTATGACCTTGAGTGCCCTGGGCCCGTGGCGTCTCTGAGCGCCGAGGCCATAAATTACCAAAAGTTCTGCTCAGTGATGCAGAAGTGACGAGGATTAATACCTTCTCCGTATTAATCCAATAGCATAGCCTAGGAATAGTCCTTGACAAGAGCTGTTAGCAGGAGCAAACTACTGTATGCTACTTTTTCAATGCAAGTTTCATGTTATGGAGATTTTTTCGTTACAATTATTATGTATTCAAGGCATATCTTAAATCTCATAAGGAAATTTCCTCTTCGTTCATTTAGTAAACCTTTGAAAAATCTTTGTAATCTAACCAAGGAAGGGCTTGTGATGATGAACCATAATCAACAGCTGAAGCAAATGTTGATAGACCAGCTTTCTCATTATTTTAAGGTTTAGTGTTGGTTTCCATTAAAACCCAAGTTTAAACTAAATTGATACAATGAAGAAACTAAATTTATTACTAATTTCCCTGTCAATCACTTGCAAGCATTCAATAGCTTCTCTTGTCACCGGTAACGTTTAAACGTCGTCTGCATCTAGCGATTTTATTTTATTTTATCTGACAGTAATCATAGAGTAGTAAATTAAAGAAATGAGAGCCAAAAATGTGGATAACACTCAGATAATGGCCTCCATGTCCAAGCAACGTTGTAATAGGTAATGAAACAACTGTGACCAGCTGTATGAAGCCAAGAAAGTAGGCCTAATTTTGTCGAAAATCTCAGTTTGAAAAAGGTTGTTTCACGTAAGGTTGTGATAAAAATCACTATCTCGATCAATGTTAATGTAGCGAGAAAAGTAGCTGAAATTCCACTACAACTACTTTAAAAATGTAGCTAGCTACAGCTAAAGCTACAAAATCTTAAAAGTAGCGTAGCTACAGCTAACGCTACAAAAAAGTAGCGCGCTACTGTAGCGTCGCTACTTCCAAACACTGTAATGGTGAGTGTATGGGATACGCTGGCAAGAGTGAAAACAGCACCCGCAGAGCCACTGAGAGCGCAATTCAGTAGCTCTTTACATCGTTGTTTACTGCTGGCCATTGCCTACCGCCATACAATTGTTTATTGTTTCATATTAAAATGGTAACTAATCTACTGTTATATTTATAACATGAAATATGTTTTTATGGCTACAGTATTTTATCTTCCAATTGACACAACCACAAGCATTGTTGGCATATTTTTATCGTTGTGCAGGCCTACTTAGTCTCAAATATTGTCATTATATGTTCTGCAACTTTGTCATATAATGTTGATTTTTAGGTTTAAATATGTTTTTTGTTTTTTATATTTTTTTATTGTGTTGTACACCTTATGAAATATAAATCTTATGAACCACAATGATGATAGTGACTTTGATAACCTAACCTCATGGTTTGTTTTGTTACTCAAACAATTTATATAGGCCCTCCTCAATACATAATTAGGTCCAGCCAGGCCTAAGATAGGGTTTTTTTATTCTTTGGAAGAGCTGTAAAATATACTAAGAAAATTTAATATTGCCTGATTTTCAAAGACATAAATAATTTATTAGTATAGTAAACTGTTTGAATCAACAAGTATAATTACTGAACAATAGTTAGAAAACCTATAAAATAAAGAAAAATTTATAAACTTATATTAACATCTTAATGATGTAAGATTTCGGTATTCTTGAATATGGATTTGTTGATAATGCTGATGTTTCCAATACCTATCATATTACAGTTTTCAACAAAATTATAACCTAATATTTTGTGAGTATAGGCTAACATTTTGTGTACTTTTGTGTATTTTGTGGGTAGTATCTTAAATTTTAAAATAAGACAATTGTGAATTGTACCTATAGATACCATAATGTATTGAAGTTAGGGTATGTTGTCTAGTCTAATCTTGCTTCAAAATATAATAGCCCTCACATGAAGTAAGTTGAAACAGTTTTGATTTTTAAACATTTGTACTACCTTTGAATGAGTAGAGAGAAAATTGTATTTAAGGGGGAAAACCGAAAAACCGAAATCCGACAACTAAGAACCGATAAAATCAGCAACCGACCCATCACTACCTTTCTTAGAGTGCTACTTGTACAGAATGTTTCTTACAACTAGTCATTGAAAAAAAAACTATTGTTATAAAACAATCAAAATTAAAAGTAGTTTTGAAATGGCACTTTTACATTAGTATCATGTAACCTTAAGTCCTTATATCACACCAGTATGATTGGTGACAACCATATTTCTTCATGTCCCATGTTTGCAGCGCCATCCTTAACATCTACAGCGATCACAGACTACGTACACATTGTCATTGCTTCCTAGGTTCGTGGAACCATCGTGAACATCTGTCACAACAGCGGAGACTTAATCATTGTCACCTGCGATACCGGGGAATTCTCTCACCATTTTGGAAATGGCATCATCGCCACTCACGACACGGCGAAACTGCCGACGATCAGATTGAATCCTGTCCTGAGAATCGGATATACTATTCCCCCAAAAAATTCCCAGTAGAATTACAAAATTCTATCGAGATAGTTCCATTGTGTCTGCCATACAACCTGTGTCAGTTTGTTCTGTGAATAAATGTGACTGGCCTAACGGGTTTTGTATCTTTGTCAGGGTGTATACTATTTTTTTTTAGTAAAATTCCAGAGTTTTTCCTGGTTTTTCCTAATCCTTGTTTTCCAGGTTCCTGTCTGAATGTTTCCCATTTCCATGTTCCCCCCCATTTAAGACTTAGAGCTTAACATGTTCAGTGCGGCATACCTTCAAACAGGCGCTCGCCAATCGCCTGCCGCTCAACTGAATTGGTGAACTCAATTGGCATTCAAATATTTTAGTCTGACGAATAAAAATAGAGCAGTGGTGATTGCGCTGCGTTAGCCCGAGAGTGGACGTAGTTCACTGAAACACCCAAAGGTAGCAGCACTGCCTGGATCTGTAGCCAGTGTCTTTGTAAAGTGGCTCGAAAAGAGAAAATTGCCAGAACCGGGACAAAAGTATTGCCAGACGGGATTTTACGGGAAATTTTATTACCAACCTACACCAGAGTAAAGCTTATATTCTAAGCCACAGGCTGGCAACGATTATAACGTTCCACGGCAATGGCTGAGCTCACATTGAAGCAAGGTTGATGTTATTGGAGAAGGACTACATTTCCCGCCCCGCGCCAGTGGTGCTGGTACAGCGGGGCGTGAATTCCCGTCCCTAACACCGAACGTGTTAAGTATAGGTAGCCTATATCAATATATATCACAATTATTTATTTAAATTTCAAAGTTCAGTGAGCAAGTGTTGAAAAAATAATAATCCTTATTAAAATAGGCATTTTATTTATCATCACTTAAGGTCATGAAAACCTTGTCTCTCTCAATAGCAGCAAAATTATCATCTCCCGTGGTCACGGAAACGTTATCACAGTTTTCGGGGATCGCAAAAATCCTGGATGCAGGGTGTCTAGTTTATTTCCATTTTTAAATTTAAGACTAATTCCAGACATTTTAAGACTAATTCCAGATTTTTCAAGACTCGTAAAAAAAAAAAAAAATAGTGAGTGTCGATACCAAAATGTATCAATTCTCGTTTCTTGATACCGATACCAAAATTATGATCATTTCCCGCAACCGTGTAGACATCACCATTGGCTTCCGCGGATAAAATTATGATGCGGAAAAATTGTGATCATTTCCCATGAACGTGTAGACATCACCATTGGTGACCATTGGTCACTGAAACGTCATCGTCGTCGTCCATGATCGCGGCAAAATTATGATCATTTCCCATGAACGTGTAAACATCACCATTGGTTCCCGCGGCTACATCATGATCCTGGATGGCACCCGTAGTTTGCAAACCCTATTGTCATCTCTCGCGGTCACCGACACGTCATCACAGTCTTCCACAATCGGGGCAGTACATGAATTTTTCTATTGCACGAGCTTCGGAGACGGGTTTTACGATTGCAATCTTCTACCGGGGCTAAAATAAAAATCCCGGAATCACTAAAAAAAATCCTGGCTTTTCCCCGGTTCTCCCAGTCGGTATACACCCTGTGTGTGTGTGTGTGTGTGTGTTGACCTGTGTTTTGGTTTAGATGAAAACATCTGTCGGATTTATAGACTAATTCAATTTGATGTGGATTTGATAATGGTCTTTGACCCAAAACTAGTCATCCCCCGACTATTTTTAAGACTGAAGACGGGCAGAGGTATGTAACGTATATATTATTTTATATATGAACTTACTCTATTTTTAGGAAAGAACAAAAATTTTTACCTGATAATAATATTTGAGGACCCAACACAAGCCTCGCACATACTCAGAAGCCACTTTGTACCTAAATGTAACATTGTGTTTAGCCACATCAAACTTGGACTCATAGTAGCGATCCTTGAAGCCATCCTCCCACAGCCGAACTTCATCATGTGATACCTCTTCCTCCTCTTCATCCACCTCTTCATGAGGACGCTTCTGTCCGTGATTGTTCTATAATAATATACATATTCAGCACAGAAACCAATTTACAAGAAGCTGCTGTTGTTCAATAGACAGAATAAGTTAAACCTCTAAGGGCGGGTTTCCGAGCTCGGGAATACGTAATCCTGGAGTTACTTAATCAGTGAATAAAGTTAGTCATCGAATAAAAAATCGGGTTTCAGAGCTCGCGAACTAACTCCCTAGTCCGCAGACTAGTCTATTCGACGACTAACTTTATTCGCCAACTTCTGGACTACTTATTCTAGGACTAAGGTAGGAATCACGGGGAATTTTAGTTTTTGAGTGGTGGTAGGGGCAGCGGACAGACGAATTTAAGACGATACCTGCCAAAGTTGTTCACGGTCAGCGCTCATAGCTACATTAGTGTCTACTCTCTAGTCTGGTTCTAATCACTTATCAGTTGGGATAATGATTCCTTGAGTTTCACTGAAGATGGTAACTAAAAGAAGATATCGTGTTCAAAAACGTATGCCGAAATAAAAAACCCAGTTATGTGAAGCATCATTTACAAAAAAAAAAAAAACCTGAAGGTTTATTTATTGCTGTTAAGTTTTATAAAAAAAAACTTCCCGATTGAAGAATAAGGTGTCAAATGTGTTAGCCTATGCCTTTACTTTGTCCAAGCTATTTTTTTATGAGAATCTAAAAACTGTAGGCATTTGAGATATTAGAGATTGGTTGCGACTTTTGTAATCCTAATGCAAACCCCAATAATTGTCTATTTAAGGTCTTACAATTATTTTGAAATGAATACTGTATGATGATAAAAAAATAAAGGGAAATATTTTATTATTCTTTGAATGCAAATCAACCGTAAAAAATTATCATTATTACAACAATTTGTTGGTTTAACGCTCTAAGAGTAGGCATAGTTATAATTTATCTGCTTAGAATGTATTTGTGTTCTCTGATTGTTTTGTATTTTAACAATTCATCTGGAAGTACAATATGTAGTAGAGATTAAGTAGGTGTCCAAGAAACTTCAGTTAACTTCCAATCATCTGAGCTCCGGTTATCTGAGACTCCAGGTTATCCGAGTTAGCTCACGGCTGAAATATTTGTTATTTAACCAAATTCCAAATTATTAAACTAGATATGAGTTTCAATTGAAAATAATACTAATACAGAAGTCTTTTTTCGTTAGGCGTTTAGGCATACTGTTAATTTTGGTTAAAAGTATTCCATAGTAAAATACTGCATTACAGTAGACTATCCGGACTCCTCAGTGCCGAGGCCAGTCCGAATAACGGGGTTTCCGGTTAAACCAACGTCCCCCAAAACTCGTTAAAATGGACCATTTAAATGCATGTAACCCTATGTAACATTATGTACCGCGTATTAAATACGTATTTAGATTTGATAGGCCCTATATTATTTTTTTCATACAGTTAAGTTTTTCTTTCTGTCTTCATATATTATTATTTTAAAATCTACGTTTAGTACCTTATAATATTAATTTTAGGGACCGTTTGGCCTATTATAGTCTTGAGCATAAATTGTAGATAAACGGGTTTCATTCAAAGATGATTTTGCATACATACTTAAGAGAAAAATAAAATTTTAAGGAAAAATATCAAGAGGAATGAAATTGCCAGTAAATTTTATGCCGATTAAGAATTTGACATATATATAGATACAACTTCACAAATTGAGTACTTACGCCAAAAGTTAAGTTAGTCCGCCCCTTAATCCTGCCCTCCACCTGGACTAAAAATTGCTCATATTTATTCCTCGAGTTAGTCTTTGTTGCCCAGTTGTGGATTATATATTTGGCTCCGAAACCCGATCGAATAACATTTAATTCGAGGATTAAGTAGCCCGTGACTCCGAAACCCATGAGAGTAATTCAGGGACTATGTAACTCTCGGAATAGACTTAGTCGTTGACTAGCGTAATCCTGGAGCTCCGAAACCCGATTTTTTAGTCCTAGAATAAAAACTGGTTTGAACTGGATTTTAGTCCAGGAATAGCGTTAGTCCCGAGCTCCGAAACCGGCCCTAAGAGTAGACTATGTTATGAATATCCAGTATATTTATTTTTTATTTAGGTGTCAAATTATATAATGACAGGACATATTGTCAACGGTTAAATCTAAGACTTATAATTAAAAAACATAAATTTGTTTTTACATCAAAACAACCTAACATTTTTGAAATATAAAAAGGAAAAAATCAAATCTACAGTATTGTAAGAGTCTCAATTATCTGGGGTAATGGGGGGAGGGAGACCACGGATAATTGAAAACACGGTTAATCCTACATGATATAAAACCCCCATAAAAAAGCCTAAAACTGTATAAATGGACATTATTGTGATAATTTAATATTACATCATCAAAATACAGGGTGTTTTTAAAAGAATGCCGGGATTTCAAACGGTCGTTGCTCGGGGACTATTCAAGATAATTAAACGATAAAAAAAAAGAAATTGAAGAGAAAAGAATAAAGTTTTTTTCTCATTGCTTCATACAATTCTGTCAGATTTTCATCAATCTATATGAGCGTAAAACTGGCTAAGTCTGTACGGTTAGGGCGATTGGCAGGTTTGTCTGATGTCTTAACTGAATCTTTTTCGGCACAAAGACTCTATCTTTTATAGATAACATCATAAAGTGACCAATTTAGGTTTGTTTAACTGAAGACTTCGTTGGGCAATAGATTTCTTCGGGCTTCTGATGCAGAATCGTCGGATTTCTTTGACTATGTAACTATGTTGACTATGTTCTTTCATCGCAAGTTTTTAGCCGGCCAGGTGAATGTGCTATCAAAACACTTTGGTGCCATGCAACTTATTGAACCAGCTTCAAGTTTCTTTATCAAGTAGATTTAAATTTAGTTTAATTTAGCACTAGATACGAACTATGCGAACTACAGATTACATTCTGTGCCTTCTGTTGTTATGTGCATTCTGTTCTGTAAACGTCGTACTGGCGACTGGCGTCAGGAGTATGAGTCACAATAGCGGCCTATCACCCCGCACCTGTTTTGAGCATGCCAAAGTCAAAGTTTTCTCCCTTGCAACACGGGTTACAAAACTTATTATTTTAGCTTCAATTTGACGTATAAAACGTTTAGTTACCTTGAATAGTATCCAAGCAATTACCGTATAAAATCCCGGCATTCTTTTAAAAACACCCTGTACAATTAGTATGCCATTGCGCAGTCACGATATGTTAAGTCATTAACCTTGGTTCATTAGTAATCAAAACTGTAAATTTAAAAAACACAGCCTACTCAAACTTTTACAAAAAAAAAATTCTAAACACTGTACAGCAATAAATCACGTAAAGAACAGATTAATAGAAATTCTAGTACCTACTGCTGCAACTGCTGGTCATAGGCTACTGCTAAATGCTGTTTCAGGACAGAAAAATGTCGATAAAAAATACATATATTTTAGATATCTCATAAACAAGTATAAAATCATAGTACTTAACGCTAATAATAACAGTAGTAAAATAAGATAAAGATAACAATGACATAAAAACATCGCTTATTCATTTTCTTTTTTTTCTATTCTTTCTTGGATTTCTCTTCATACACACTTTCAACAAGTTGTCATGGTTACTAATCACCCAACCAAACGCTATTAAATTTGTCATGGTTACTAATTGCCCAATCACAAACTGTTGTGACATAGCAAGCGCACAGCAGAGAGATGTGCAAGGAGCAGAGCAGACGATTGTCAGTGCAAGCGGATAGCTTGACCTTGAAGCTATCGATCTTTAATCAATCAATCAATTTGATTTATTGAGATTTCTTTAATAAATAGAATAGTGTCATATACATAGATTGTAATTTGAATTTTCATCTTGCTTATTTGATCAAAGAATTCCTTTATTGAGTATAATAGTTGATCCATTAGCCAGTCTTTGAGTTTCCTCTTCAGGTCTTGATTTCTTAAGATCTTCAAGTGGTTGGGCAGGCTATTGAAGACCTTTCGTCCCATGTAGGTAGGCTTCCTGCTGTATTGAGTTGTATGGTGAGCTGGGAGAAGGTAGTCTGTAGCTCTTCGAGTGTTGTGAGAGTGAGAATCTGTTCCTCTTGTAAGTTCACTCTGTTCAGTATAGTTCAATCACTGCAAGGATGTATAGTGATATCACAGTCATGATTTTTAGTGATTTATAACCTTCCCTGCAGCTTTCTGTAGGGCTGAGGTCAGCTAGCGTCCTTATAGCTTTTTTCTGGAGTCGCAGTATCCTTGTAAGGTTCTGCTCTGTGGTTCCGACCCTGACCATTAACCCATATCTTATGTGGGACTCTACTAAGGCATTGTATGCAGTCTTAGTTGCTTCCTATCCACCTATCCATTTAATTCTACGCATTACATAAATTCCTGATCCTATTTTTTTGTACAGGCTATTCACATGTTCTGTCGATGAGAGTTTAGCATCGATGGTCATGCCTAGTAGTTTGGACTGTTCATTGATAGTGATATTTGTAGCTCCAGTTAACTGTAGCTGTCTTCTGCTGAAATTTATTTGCGTAGTTTTTGTTGGATTTATTGCCAAGTCATTTTGAAGACAGTACGTTGTTGCTTTATTGGTTAGTTCAGTGATCTCTGAGTACAGTACATGAGTTATATCATTCTTAATAATCAAAGTTAAATCATCAGCATACATGATCGGTTTGGCATTCTCATTATCAATAAAGTCTGTGAAGGCATTAGTGAAAAGTATAAATAGAAAAGGACTCAGAACCGAACCCTGAGGAACTCCCCTGGTAGTTGTTTTTGTGCTAGATCTGAAAGTGTGTTTCCATTTAATGTTTTTTGTATTTCAACTATCTGTACACGGTCTTCTAGATAGCTTGCTATCCAGTCAAAGGCTTGCCTTTAATCCCTAGCAGGGATAGTTTGTTAAGTAGAAGCTTGTGACCTAAGCAGTCAAATGCCTTACAGTAATCAAGCAGAATGGCTGAGACATGTTTGTTATCTTCAAGTTGATCTGCAATGTGCAAGGCTGCAAAGCTTGCAATGGCAGTGATGGT